AGTATGATTCTGGCTATTGGTTTGTCATAGATGACCTTTATCAGGTAAAGACCATCTATTCCATTTTTTTTGTCTTTTTCCTTTTTATCGGCACTGGGGATCAAACTCACGATTGCCTGCTTCCAAGGCAGGTGCTTATGCCGCTGAGCTAAACCTCCAGCCCCTATTTCAATTTTTTGTAAGGTTCTTACCATGAATCAATGTGGGGCCTTATCAAAAGCTATTTCTGCATCTATAGAAATTATGATGTGACTCTTACTTTTGGCTTTATGATATGGTGGATTACATTTATTGATTTACATATGTTGAACCATGCTGCATGCCTAGGATGAATCCCACCTGATCATGGTGTATAATCTTTTTGATGATTTGCTGCATTCTGTTTGTCAGTTTTTTATTGAGGATTTTTGCATCTGTGTTCTTTAGGGAGACTGGCCTGTAGCTCTCTTTCTTAGTTGGGTGTTTCTCAGATTTTAGTACTAGAGTAATATTTGCTTCCAGGAAAGACTTAGAAGTATATCTTCCCTTTTGATTTCATTGAAGAGTTTGAGGAATGTCGGCACTGACTCTTTGTGTTTCTTGTAGAATTCTGCAGTGAATCCGACTGGGCCTGGGCTTTTCTTTGTAGGTAAGTACTTAATTACGTTTTCAATTTCATTAATAGTAATTGGGTTATTCAGCATTTTTCTATCTTCTTGACCCAGCTTTGGTACTTCATATGTGTCTAGGAATCTCTCCATTTCTTCTGTGTTACCGAATCTATGAGAGCAGAGGTTTTCAAAATAGATGTTGATGATCTTATTTGTAGAGTCTGTAGTGATTTCACCTTTTTCATTCCTTATTGCATGAATTTGAGCTTTTCCCTCCTTTTAAAAAATAAGGTTGGCAAGAGGCTTATCAATTTTATTTACTCTTTCAAAGAATCAAATCTTTGATTCATTGATTTTTTAATTGTTTTCTTAGTCTCTATTGCATTAATTTCTGCTCTAATTTTTTATAATTTCCTCACTTCTTTTGGCTTTGGACTGACTTGCTCTTCTTTTTCTAGATGTTTGAGATGTAGCATTAGGTCGTTTAAATGTATTCATTCTGTTTTCCTGAAGTGGGAACTCAGTGTAATAAATTTTCCTCTGAGGACTGCTTTCATTGTATCCCACAGATTCTGATAATTTTTATTGTTATTTTCATTTGATTGTAGGTATTGCTTTATTTCTTCTTTAATTTCCCCTGTAACCCACCGATTGCTCCAGAATTTATTATTCAATTTCCAAGTGTTTGTGGGAGTTTTTCCATATCTATTATCATTAATTTCTGGTATCATAATGCTATGATCTGATAATATGCATGGGATATTTGCAACTCTTTTGTATTTATTTAAACACATTCTGTGGACTAGTATATGGTCTGTTTTACAGAATGTCCCATATACTGCTGAGAAGAATGTATATTCTGGTGTTCTTGGATGGAACACTTTGTATATGTCTATCAAGTCCATTTGTTCACAGGTGTGATTTAATTCTGTTACTTCTTTGCTGATTTTATGTCTGGTTGATCTATCCCTTGGTGTCGATGATATGTTAATTTCTCCCATTATAATTGTGTTACTGTTGTTTTGAGTTTTCATTTTGATTAATACTTGCTTTGTATAACTGGGTGCTCTGCAATTAGGTGCATATATATTTAGGATTGTTATCTCTGCCTCTTGACATTTTCCTTTAACCAGTATGAAATGACCTTCTTTATCTCTTAGGGTCATTCTTGCTTTGAAGTTCACATTGTCTGCGAACATAATAGCTACCCCTGCTTTTCTTTGTGTGTGTTCCTGTTGCATGAAGTATTGTTTTCCATCCTTTGACCTTCAGTCTGTCAGTTTCCTTTTGGTTTAGATGGATTTCTTGTAGAGAGCTTATGATTGGATGTTGTTTTCTGATCGTTTCTGCCAGTCTGTTTCTTTTAATTGGTACATTGAGACCATTTACATTAATGGTTATAACTGTTCTATATTGGTTTATTGTTGACATGTTATCTTTTTGCTGTTGCATCTTTTCTTTTGGTTCTGTTTAATTGTCTGGTTTGTTTAGTGGTTTTTTTCCTAGATGCATCTAGGCTGTCTTTCAGTATTCTTTGCAGGGTTGGCTTGGTGATCATGAAGTTTTTCAGCTGTTCTTTGTCATGGAAGTATCTTATTTCTCCATCCATTTTGAAGAACAGTTTTGCAGGATACATCAGCCTAGGTTGGAAATCATTTTCCTTTAGGATCTGAACTACTTCACTCCATGCTCTTCTTGACTTCATTGTTTGTGCTGAGAGGTTTGCTGTGATTCTGATAGGTTTTCCTTTATAGATGATCTGTCTTTTATCTGTAATGGCTTTTAATATTCTATTCTTATGTTGGATTTCTGGGATGGTGATTATTATATGTCTGGGTGTAGTTTTAGTTTGGTTATGGCTATTTGGAGTTCTATTAGCTTCACTAATCCATATATCAGTTTTCATTCTCATGTTTGGGAAACTTTCAGCTATTACTTCTCTAAAAAGCCTCTTGATATCCTTTGTGTTTTCCATTTCTTTTTCATTTATCCCTATCAATATTATATTGTTGTTCTTTGCATCATCTTGCAGTTGTTGAATTGTTATTTCATGATTCCTTGTTCTTTTTAAAAGATCTTTCCTTTCCTGTTCAGTAACTGCAATCTTGTCTTCAAGGTCTGAAATTCTATCTTCACATTCATTGAGGCAGTTTTTAGAACTTTCAATGTAATTTTCAATTTCCTGTATATCTCTTTGAATCTGCTTCATGTATTCTGTTTGTTTCTTATATTGTTCATCTGGGGATTCTATATTTTTGTTTTGTTCCTCTAATTGTTTAACTGTGTCTTTTTAAGATGTGTTCAGCATCTCTCTTTACTTTTGTCATTTTTTTTACCTGCGAGATTATTTTTAGTGTGAATCCCTTTAAAGCTTCCCAGAGTTGTTTCTTTTCTATGTTGCTATTATTGCAGGTATTTCAGGTATATATGCAGCATATATTTTCCTCTATTTACGTAGCTCCTAAGCTTTCTTGGGATGGTCTTGAGGTTTGAGATTGCATTTTGATCTTTCTTTTTGTCATTTTCCTCTATTTCCATGTTTCCAGTGTTGTTCCAAGGCTTCTCCTGGGCCTGTTGGAAATCATCTTTTATGCCTTCACCTCTTGGGATTGAATGGAGGTTGCTGAGCATGGTCAAGTCAGGCCCACAAGACCTCCTGCGGCACCTCCCATGTCCCATTAAGCTGGTGGGGCACATAACCACTGTGGATGATGGTCCAAAGCTCTCACCAGGCAAGGTCCAATGCTCTGGAACTTACTTCACATGCCCTCAACTCCCCTGCTTGAAGAAAATCACTGGGCATAATGTTATCAGGTCGCAAAACCTCCCACCAAACCTGTCTAGTCTAGGTGGCTGGAAGCTGGGCGGGTCCTTGACCATTGGGGGCGATGATCTTAAACTCTCCTGGGGCTCAGGATGGTGCACAGACACTCTCCCCCAGCCGCCCAGTTCACCAAATTGAGAGAGGGTTAACTGGTGTGGCCCAAGCAGGCCCAAAACCTGTGGCACCCAACAAGTGTGGCTGGAAGCTGGGTGGTTCCTTGACCAAAGGGAGTGATCATCTTAAACTCTCCTGGGGTCAGGAGGTGCACAGACACACACCTCTGGCTACCTCATTCTCTGATTGGAAGAAGATCACTGGGGGTGGCCCAGGCAGGCCTGAAACCTGTGGAGCCCAGTCAAGAGTGGCTGGAAGCTGGGCAGTTCCTTGATGACTGGGAATGATGATCTTAAATTCTCCCGGGTTGTGGGATGGTGCACAGACTCTCACCTCCAGCCGCCCAGTTCCCCAGATTATGAGCCTTATTATTTAATTTTATATAGTGTTTTATTTCTTTTTTAGTTTCATGTATGACTCATTAATTTATCAGGAGGGTGTTATTCTATCTCTAGGTGTTTACGCAGAATTAATGGTTTCTTTTGCTGATAGTTTCCAGCTTTATCACAGTAAGACCCATAATATGCAAGGTCAAATTTCAATTTCTTTACATTTGCTTAAGCATATTATAAGGGATACCACACAGTATATTTCCGAGAATTTTTGTGTGCAGTTGAGGTAAACATTTACTCTAATGTTGATCATGGAACACTCACTGTACATCTACTATGTCCATTTGTTCACAGGTTTGCTTTAGCTCTGATATTTCTTTGTGGATTTTTTTGTCTAGTTGATCTGAATATTGTGACAGGGGCTGTAGCTGTCTCCCATTACAATGGTTTTAGTGTTTAATCAATTTTCCATGTCCACAATACTTGTTTAATATAATTGTGTGCACTGGTACATAATTATGATTGTTATGTCTTCTTCTTGGAGTTTTCCCTTAAGAAGTATGTAGTGACCTAGTTTGTCTCCTTTGATCCATCTGGTTTGAAATTTACACTGAATGCAAATAAAATAGCTAACCCTGGTTTTGCCTAGTTTTCTGTCCCATGGGTTATTGTTTTCTACCGTTTACTCTGAATCTCTTGATATCTTTTTGAGTTAATATTGTGTCCCATATGCTAAATATTGTTGGATCATGCCTTTTGATCTATCCTGTGAATCTGTTTCTTTTGATGAGTAAATTGAGAACATTTACATTGATGATTATAATTTATATGCATTGGCTTCTCCTTATCCTAATAACTTTTGCCATTGGTTCCATGTCTTTCCCTGCTTTAACTGCTTGCCCTCCCTTGTGGCTTATTTCTCTTGGTTTTCCTTGAATTCTAGTCCTCATCTTTTCTTTGTAAAAATATCTCATTACATTTTGGAGCGCTGTGTTGGTGATCATCATTTATTCTTTGACATGGAAGTATCTTATTTCTCCAGTGAATTAGAAAGATAATTTTTTAAAGTAAATCAATCTTGATTGTAGCTTGTTTTCTTTTAGAACATGGAATATTTTACTGTAAGATCCCTTTGACTTGAGAAATATGGAACACTTGATGAATTTTTCTGTCATTGTTGTGCACTGGCCGTGGTAACCTTCTCTGTTTAGTTTCCCTTTATGACTATGCTGCCAAATGGAATATTACATCTCCTCCCTTATTTCTGATTTTATTTATTTTACTCTACCTCTTTTGTCTTGTTTTCTCTTGCTGAAGAGTTTTATATTTCTTATCTTTCCTAGATCTTTTTTGGTTTTTATTTCATTGTTTAGTTCATGTTTGCATTTCTTATATGGATTTATACAGGTACACAGCACAACTTAATCCTATTTATTTTTGCTACCTTTCTATTCCTCTAATATCTTTGTTTTTAGAACCAAGGATTTAAATCATGACCTTGCACTTTTCAGTAGATGCTTATGCTAATGAGCTAAATCCTTGCCTTCCCTTAATATTTAAGTTAAACTCCTATCCATTTGACAAATAGCTATCTCCTGTCTTACTTTATCTTTTATTTTTCATTTTTTCACATTCTGAGCTTTTCATGTAAGATAAAACAAGCAAATTTAAGTGTACATTTTACTTATGTCATTTAACACTGTGATCTAAAGGTTCATTAATGTTGGTTTATTTGTTTTTTCTTATTTTTAAGACTTTTACTTTAAAAAATAAAACAAAAGAAAAAGAATGAAACAAATCAGAACAAAGCAATGCCAGCAACATAGCACTTCACAAGAAGACAACAGAACATCAACAGTGGATACCATAATGTCTCTTGTTTTCTTGGAAATAGTTGACCAGACCTTCACACAGTATGGAAAATGCAACAAAACAGTATAAAACAGGTCTACAGAATGAAAGCATTACAGGACTTCAAAACCAGATAACAGGAAATAAACAATGGCTAATTTGGTTCATATAGTCAAAAAAGTTGTCCATACCATCACACATAATAAAATGAAATAAAACAGAACAGGATAGAATCAATTGAAACAGAAGTACAAAAGCACTATAAGACTTCAAAGCAAGATGATAGGAAATCAGCAATGGCTACCATAATGTCTCATTTTATTCAGAATAGCTGTTCATACCATCACACATAATAAAATCAAATAGAATAAAACTAAGTAAACAAATGAATGAAAGCATTAAAGACTTCAAAACAATATACTTGGGAACCATGATTGCCATAGTATTATATTATATTCAATAATTGTATTCAAAATATCTGCCCCATCTTCTGGCAGAGTAAAATCTAACAAAACAAGACAGAACAAAGCCAAACCTAAAAAAATTTAGAAACCATAAGAGTTCAAGACTAGACAATAAGTAACTAAAAGTAGATACCATAATTTCTTCCCAGATGTTTTCTTCACTATCACTCTTACATCAGCTATTTTACTTTTGGATCCCATGAACTCCTCCTGTTTCTTATGGTAGGATTCATATGTATGCATTTGTACTGTTTCACCCATGAACATGATCGCCAATTGCATCTATTAACATACAGGAGCCTTGGGATTATTCTGTTTTATTGATGGGTGGCTTTCCCTTGCACGAAAACATCATATTTTTCACATCCATTCTTGCTTTTTTTCTCTATTCCCCAGTCTTATAAAACAATTGTTGGGGCTGGGGATTTAGCTCAGCTGTATAAGCACCTGCCTTGCAAGCAGGTGGTCGTGAGTTCGATCCCTGGTACCGAGAAAAAAAAAAAACAATTGTTTATTCTCCTTTGATTTTTCAGTATATGAATTTCCTGTCCAGTTAAATGTGTTTCTTGTATGCAGTGTATTGATGTATCTTGTTTCTTGATCTACTCTCCCAGTGTTTCTTGTTACCGGAGTCCAACTACATTAATGGTTACAATAAGCATACATTGGTTTGTCTCTTCCATGCCTGTTGTGGACCCTGTGCTTTTTTGCTTCACTCAATTGCCTGTCTTATTTGAGGATCTTCCTCTGCTGCTGTTCTTGGAACTATGGACATCTTTATCTCTCTCTAGCATATCCTCCAACACTCTCTGTAGGTTTGTTTTCATGGTCATGAATTCCTTCAGTTGTTCTTTATCATGAAGGTATCTTAGTTTTCTACCAATTTTGAAACATCATTTTGAATGGTAAATCAATCTAGGTTGGAAGGTATTTTCTTCAAGATTTGAAATGCTTCACTCCAAAGTTTCTTTGGCTTTTTTTTTTTTTTGTCTTTTTCTTTTTTTATCGATCCCGGGGATCGAACTCATGACTGCCTGCTTGCAAGGCAGGTACTTGTGCCACTAAGCTAAATCCCCAGCCCCTACTCCAAAGTTTCTTGACCTGATGGTTTTTGTTGATAAGTCTGATGTTATTCTGATAGGTTTCCTATGATAGGGGATGTGTTTATTTACTCTAATAATAGTTTTTAATATACGACTCTGGTACTGAATTTCTGGGGCCTTGATTATTATATGTCTGGGTGCAGGTTTACTTTGACTATGGCTAGTTGTAGTGTACATGTCTCACTTATCTGCATGCCAGATCCATTTCCTATGTTTTGGAAGTTTTCTTCTATTACTTCTGTAAATAGCCTTTTAATTTCATTTGTGTTGATTGCTGCTTGTAAACCAAAACCTGCCACTTTTAAATTATGCCTCTTTGTATCATTTTGCAGCCAATGAGTTATTATTTCCTGATTCCATGATGCTTTTTAAGATATCTTTCATTTCATGATTACTATCTGCAATCCTATCATCAAGAACGAAAGTCTATCTTCAGTGTCTTTCAAGTGGTTTTGCCAGATTTGGTTTTAAATTTTAATTGCCTGGATTTCTTTTTGATTTGTTTCATGCATTGTAATTCCTCTCTATATTCATTCAGCATTTCCATTATTTCCCTGTGCTCCTCTTTGCTGTCTTTGTCTTCTTTAGACCTTCTGAACAATTCTTTCAGTATATCTGTGATTTGTTCTTTTACCTGAGACATTATTTCTGATTTGACTGCTTTTACAATCTCATGAGTTGTTTTCTTACTTCAGATACTATCCTCTGAGAGATTTCTGGTGTGTGACTTCCTCTTTCTTCCATGACTGTATCTCCCAGACTGGTTCTATATGGGCCAGACATCTGAAATTGCCTTTTGCTTCGTCATGTTGACATTCTCTTGGGTTTCTCCCAGCAAGCTTAGCTGTGTGGCCCCAGGGACTTCCCTTGTTGGTTGCCCCTCCACAGCAAAGCATGATGGTACAGGCACCTGGATTACTTTAACCCCAGATTTAGAGGGAGGTATCAGGGCATAAACTGGTTTCTCCAGACTATGGTGCTACACTGGGGCTTTCCTGATGATCCTGGGTTCATGGAGGTGTTGCTGGTTTTCTCAGCTTGTGTTTGGACACTGGGACGCCCATGATGGTGCAGACACACAAATGTTTAATTGTTTGGTTCCATTGGGTTATGGCTGCTAGAAGGAACTAATGAGCTCTAATTGTGGACTACAGGTTCACCCCTTACTTAGCAGTGTGTCCCTGTTCCTGCTGGCCACCTGCAGGAAAGAACCTTTCAGTAGTGGTACCCTCAGCAGACAGACATGGATCTATCTGGCTCCCTCAGCCCCTGCTGTGCACCTGTAGGAAAGTGTCTTCTGGTCATATCACCTGGCAGGCAGACGCAGGGCATTAATGTCTTGTAATGACTTAAGTTTATCTTTTCTTATGCACAGCAGTTTTCTATGGTGTGTAAATTACCAAAATTATATATCAATGTATCTATTGTATACACATGTAGACTGCTTCCAAGTGATAGGTATATCTAGAATATGTGAAAAAGAAACAATTAGACTGCTGTACTGTAGAAAGCCAAAACCTCCTTTTTACATCAGTGTATAATCAGCCTGCTATTATTCTACCTCTCTTTGTTTGTTCTCTATCTCCCCCAAACTGCTTATTTCTTAGAGGTATGACATTATCTTTTTTCCCTTTACATATTTAACAACTATTTTGTAAATCATATCAATAGGACAAATTTCACGCAACATAATGTGCTCTACAACATATCAAGATACCATAAGATGAATGAACAACTCAAACATACAGTGATAGAATCTATTGTCCATTTGGTAGAGTCACTTTTTTTTTGGTGTGTGGTCTCTTGAGTTAGTTATATCTTAACATTTGGAAATATGATTTGATGATCTTAATTAGTTAATAAAAGGTTAGTATATGTAGTGTACAGCTTGACATGACCACAGCAGTTGTGACTATAAAAACAATTTTGTCTGCCAGGCAATCCTGACACATTCTAAAGCTTTTGGAAAAGCAAAGTCAAAGAGGTAAAAAATTTCTACTTCTGCAGATGTCTGGACTATTTATTTGTTGGCTGATTTTTTTTCCTCTTAATTTTTAGCAAGTCCGTATAAATTCTCGGGATACCAGATGTGGCATCTGGCTGTGCGGTCTGCTGCCTACTCTTATAGGGTTAGCACTTCTGTCCTTTACTTTGAATCCAGGTGCAAGGATCTTTATGTCTTGCCACTTATCTCACTCTCCTAACTTCAAGTCCCTAAAAGGTCATGTATTGTTCATTCTTCATTTGCTGGTGATTCAATAGGCAGTGTTTTCCAAAATGAAGGGTGAAAGAGTTGCCTGAGGACACACATGGGAAAAAGGAGTGGTGATACCCGAACGAATAATCCTGATACAGAAAGATGATGTAAATCTATCTCTTAGCAAAACCAAAAGAAACATGAATATCAACCTAAAACAATCAAGTCACATCAAAAAAGACAAAATTTGTTTTAAAAACTGAAAAAGATGCATCCCTCACACAAGTACTGCAAATTCAGAGTTTTATTGTTAATACCAAATTATAAATTTTCTACAAGAAAAAGTGACATTGTGGAGGAATCACACATTTATATCACCTTGTTCAAGGAAAATTTTCAATATACATTCATGTCACTAAGTAATATTTATGCTACAGTATGTTTAGAAGTGACAGTATAAATTTGTGGTGTTTGGTTAGAAAACTTTGCTGACCTTTTCCAGTATAAAGGAAAAATATATAATTTCCCCAATCACAAAAGGATGGGAAATGACATTTCATGCACAAGAAAAACCTGTTCAATGGAAGGATAATACAGAAAAAATTAATTCAAAATTCAATGGGGACAA